CTGACTACGCCGCGGCGCCGCACCGGTTAGAAGATCATTCGGCCATACGCGTCAATAACTAGATAACTTGATATTTTATTTTAAGTCTTGTTTTAATCTGATCACAATATATCCAATCGACTGTTGATTCGGTAACGAAGTCCCTGCAGAATTTTTACCAGTTTTGGGTAACGTAATATCTTGTCTTGGCACATACTAAAAAAATACCAATGCCTTACCCATCGTAAGATTTTCTAAGGCGGGAACCGATATTAGTATTAACCATTAATACTAACATCGGTTACCGCCATAGACTCACATAAAAAAATTCCTTTATTAAATAAAGTACATCAACGGTCAGTAATAATAATATTCTTTATTGGTACACCATACAAGAATAGAAAAGAATGTCAAATGTATTTGAACAGTAAACTGTTATGAAAAAGTTTAAATATTTTGTTTTTCCAAGTATACTCACTTCACTGCCACAATTTCATGGGCATGCAAAAGAAAACATTCTATATCTCACGGGAGCGTAAAAGTAAATGGGAGCCTAGTGGACAGAGGCATTCCTTTTTTTTATAATTTGAACATGATTTTGAACTCCACGAAAAAAGTGAAAATTTAAACGTAACAATAGAGACTGTGTTCTCATGAGAGTAAAAAACTTAGTTAATGTCCCGCTTTAATCATTAATTCGAGCCTTTAAGCGCACACATCAGATAATATCGAGCATTCTTCTTAGTAGCGCTTCAATAGACACGAACTATTTTATGTTTTTACCTTACGAGAGAAATCTCTTCTCGGGAGATGCGCCTTAATTTGTACTCACAATTACTTTCAGATTTTAACGTAATGATAGCGTAAGTAAGGGCGAATTAAAATGTCGTTCACAAGACTTGCGTAGTACGCACATATCACGCTCGCTTTCTAATGTTACTTTAACGTACAATTGTTAGGAGTTGATCTTCTCGGGCTTTCCCAGATATTAATTACGAACTTTCAGCTAGTTAACAGCCAATTATAAGCAGCAGTTGCGTTTGCGCTTGGTAATCAGAGCCGAAAGTCACTTCACTGAATAACGAATGGCTTGAACCGCCCACATGCCTATTCAGATCATTGATTTACTTGGGATAGCAATAATATAATTGTCGATTATACCTTTTATGTAACTGGTTATTGTTTAGTTCTTTCATTCTAATTTGGGTATGCGCCGTTGGGAGGGTAACTAAGATGTAAAACTACGAGATAAATAAATTAATGTATGTACTTCCTTTAGCATTCGTTCGTTTCAAGCAATATTCATTGATTGTAATCAATAAATTATATGTCCTATTTTACGTTAACCAAGCTCTTAACATCTACAAGGTTAATTGAATGTCGAGGATATTGAACTGAAGTATAATTATACGAAGTTCAATGTCTGAAGACATTCAATACCCAACCCATCCATAATGTAACATCAGCTACAATAATCTGTTTAACATAAAATGAGTCATTGGCATGGTCACCGGCACATAATGTTATACTCAGTATTTTTTTTGAAACCCAAATATACATCAAACGTTGGACGTACATAGCCTAAAATGGCTAAGAAAAATTATTGTGGAATTGAGCATCATAATGCGCTGTTGACAACACTTATACTCTAAATTAATGACTTGACAGATGACATAGAGATATTTTTTTAATATTCTCTCTAAACGTGTGACGAAGGCACTACTTCGTAGCAAGGCTCACTACAAGTTTAATTGAATGTCTTCGGACATTGAACTTCGTATAAATGTGGTTGATTTCATTTTCAGGTGAGTTCCTTCAACCACTAAGTATATTATGTCGTTGTAGATAAATACTACATTTATGAATTAGAGGAGCACATTATAGAATATGTTTGGTGTTTCACGCTCCTGATTGCAGTATTACTTTACCTTAACTTACTTTCAAACTAAGTCTTAAAACAAATTATAGGTAAATAGGCTTTGTGATTATAATATAATTTAACGATTAGATTACTTAGTAGTTTGAGATCTGCAATACATAACCCATACTTAGCATTCTAATCTCATCGCTTATTTTTAACTTATTATGTCGTTGAAATTCTTTCGCAATTATTAGCAATCATTGCCGGGCCAATAACTACTACTTAAGAAGGTGTCATTAAACACTTGATCTGAATTCTACACTCGCCTTAGAATAATCAATACAAAAACGTTCCAACACTGTTATTGAAAAAAAGCAGCTCGTCTTCTAAACGTTGACTTGCAAATTGCAATTTAGCGATAGGCAGAAAACGAAAGTTATGAATAAACTTACGATTCACGTTGTTTTTTGTCGATCATCTCGTGTGAAATCAGAGAGTAACTTTTATTTTATATTTTTTTGTGAATAATAAAATCCCACGGTTATTTTGCTATTACAGAGCTTTTCAAATGCCCTGGAGGAATGTCAAATGACCATTTTTTTAGTGTCTCGGATAGCTTTAATTACAGTTCTTTGATATTAAAGAATGTCTGTATAAAATGAATACGATTTTTCTTCACAAAAGCTGATTTATTATTGAATTATTATGTAATATTACATTAATTATTATTTTTTATATTTTTCAAAATAAAAGTAAGTACATATTTTATGATAGTCATATTTTCAAATAAGTTCACATAATAAATAAAAAATTGCTTATTTCATTTACAATTAATTCTGAAAAACCTGAAAATTAGGTGATTATAGCAAACAATCATCAAATATTAATAGACATTGTTGTCATAACTGGGTCACCTTTCTCTGGTGTGGACTTTGATCATTGAGTTCTAATTTCGATAATATCGTCCATTCTTTGGTTGACCAAAAGATGATTAGTTTTTGACAGAGTAATTAAGGAAGTCAAAGAAACGCGTGCGCGAACATTGAATACCCCCGGGCATTCGGTCATTGTTGAACTTCATACACAATGCAATTATAATGAGAACGAAATATTTAATAATCTTCTTGCATATTTGCTCTTGAAATACTTCAAGCTTTGTGGGGTTTGTAAGAGATCAAAGAGTTCGACGTGTCAGTAAAAATAAAAACGCAGTTACTTAAATACCTTGACGTACTCAATACATAGTGCAATAGTCGCCATATTTGTTTATATTATTTTTTAAGAAAGGTCCAGTAAATTACACCAACCCTCTGATGTTATGTGTAAGTGGGGTCAGTTGCGAAATGATATGATGCGACAAAAAAATGTGCCTCTCCCGTCATCCTTAACTAGCTGGGCTAAACCCAATCCACTTCTCTGGTAAGCCTTGGAAGCTTACTGACTAATAGAAAGACAACACCGCCAAATGAAGTTTAGCCCTGGAAACTGACTGACCACTAGAAATACAACACCGCCAAATATGGAAGTGCTTTTTAATTGCGGTCTTCTGGAAGGCGAATGTTACTTCACCAGATAAATGCATTAATTCAAATTGGTTAACACAATATATAATTAATGTATATGCATCATTATGGTAAGCGTTTCCTCAAAATATAACTGTTAATAAATATTTACCGGTTATCTTGTACGTTCACTCGGAGATAATGAAACGGAACAGTTTCAACCTATTAATTAAATACAACCATATTATCATTACAGTTGTTCTCGCATTTCTCGCATATATTAAGGTTTCCAAGTCGGAAAGAAAGTAATTTTTTGTTAGGTAGCTCTATACATAATATGGTTTCTGTGGTGAAAAACCGCAAAAGGGCCGGCAGTTGTTGATAGAAGCAATGAGGCTTGCATTGTTTACGGCCGCAGAGGTGGAGTGCCCTACATCCGGCGTGTTTCCTCTTGAGCGCTTAATTGATCGCGGCTGCCACCTACTACAATCTATTATTATAATATTGCCGCAGATTATAGAAAATAGAAAATGCCCGAGGGCCCGCTTTCTTGTGAGTAACTAGCGCTGCCAGTCTAGTTACGACCAGGTGGGTGCAGCCTCATAGAAAAAATCTATCGCCATGATTCACGAAAAGTACTTATCGGCCGGTCCCAGTTACAATTTATTATGACGTCTTAAACACTAGAAATAAAAAAAAACAACTAAAGCTTTATTACCTAAGATTTTTTATTGTACAAGAAAATGAATGTTAATTTGTGATATAAAACTAAGCATAGAATTTTATGTGGTCAGTCATGGCGAAAGCCATTATTTTTGCTATGGCATACCTTTACCGAGACGTGTGCTATCATAGCTAACGGTGTAAAGACTGTTAAGCACATCTTCCATCGACAGCTGAGAGTTGTGCTTTCTAACTGGCGATCGAATGTCTGCAGAGAAATCGACTGAACGTTCGACAAGAGCCATGTTCGTCGCGGCGTGCCTCGCACGCTACTATCTCTACATACTTAAGCTTAATGCGAAACTAATACTTTTCTTAAAAATGAAAGTACATGAAAGTGCTAATTTATACAGGAAATAAGTATACATTTAATTAATCGAACGGTAAACATTAAGAAAAATATTTGAAAGCGTCGAAATCATACGCGACACTACATGACGCTCAGTTATAAATTGCTCTTTCTACGAAAACTGCAACTAACAATCATAAAGTTAACAAACACGTTTTTCTTTTTTGTTCTATAAACTATGAATGTAAGCCTGTGTAAAAGCTTAAGTTGAGTAATCTCTTTCCCTTTTTTTGCATAAGCTTAAGTTATAAAAAACACTATGTAGAACTGGATGCACTTGCGACCTTGCAATCAATAAGGTGAAGGCCGCGCGCGGTTTCTTCTCAACGCAACGGGAGCGGCGCGCTGCAGTGAAAGATGCGGCCGGTGCAGTTCCGGACCGGCACGGTCAGTGGGTCAGCCCCACTCGCCCCAGCCGTGGGGAGTGGGGCCACGCGGCGCGAGCGCAGTGCCGCGAGTACCGTCCGTAGTAGATGAGGGAGATGGCCGCGTCTGCGCCGGCGCCGTATTAGCGCCCATGCGAGCCCGCGGGCCTTGTTCGTAGTACCGAGTAGTGTGATCTTGAACTGTGTCTCGTTGGTTGCAGGCCGCTGTACTGCTGGACTGTGAACATGAAAAGGATCAGGTTGTTGCTGACGGTCGTGGCGCTCCTAATAAAGGTTCGTATTTTTCTATTTATCAAGTTATTATCTTTTTGTAAAACAAACGCAATGAATTTAGACAGCCAAATTAAGATAATTAAGTACTAAATTTCTAAAAGAAAAAAGTAATTCCTTTTTTTAATAATTTGCGAGATTATAGTAGATATATCTAAGAATAATGGAGTATCATTGAATCATAGTAATGTTTCATTCGGTTTCAACACATGTAGAGGTCTGCTCTCCTGCATTTGGGATACCGTTCGGATCGGTAGACCGCTGCGGATAACAGCTTGCAAAGACCCATTACACTAGAATGGACCGCTCAAACACTTACCACTGGCTACCGTAACGTTATTCTAGATACCCTTAACACATGAATGATCTTTCAAATTATGTATTAGAGAAGTCAACTGGATTTAAGATTGCATCTTTAATTAAAAAAAATCTAGTTCTGAGTACTAAATATTAATTTAATTTGGCAAAAATCATAATATGTAATGAATTTGTAGATTGATACAGATATAACCAGTCTGAGAAATTAAGCTTATTCATTGAATCTATATGCTTCATTTTATATTCAAGTTACAAGGAAAACCCTTTTTCTTAAAAAAATAGAGAGAGACGAATTTAGTCAGCCATCAAGAAGGTACACTGATTCTCGAATTAATTTTGAAGATAACTGATTAACCTTCGATGTTTTAAAAGTATACTTACTTGTACTAAATTTACAATGAAAATTTTTCTTACAAACGAATTTAGTGAAATTAAAATTGCACCGTAAAAATTTGTTTGTTTCAAATGGGACAGACTATTTATGCTCTTTTTGGTGCGTCTATCGGCATCCCTGTGTATGCGTGCGCGGCGTCTCTACGGCTCGTGCCACTCTTCCATTATTCAGCGTTTTTCCGGCCGCGTCGTTGCATCTAGACTAATGATTCCGTTAGCGCATCCACAAAACACCCGCGATCGGACGCTCACTGCGTATCTATGATCTTCCTCCATCGAATTTCTAGAAATCAATTCTCAATTCACGTAGTAACACATACTGAGTTGTGCTAGCTAACGGCAAATGGCAGTGTTAAAGTAAATGTTTTGAGCTACACGGTATATTCTTTGATATCAATGGAATATTTTAGTCTACTAAATCTGATGGGCATGAATTCGGTGTCTGAGAAAAAATGCGTTTGAATAATGCTTAGTGCAATCGCCGTGGCTGCGTATGACAATTAAAAGAAAGTAAATTAGGTGACCATAGTATGAAAAGAAAAATAAGCGGTTAAAAAAGATTAATAAACAAATATGTACATTCGTACAAAGGTCTACTCCACACACAATAAAAGTAACTTTCCTCTTATCTACTCGGTTAGAAATTACAGAAACGGGTCGCAATTTGCATAACCCGAGCTGCGTCCACACAGCGGCGCCGGCACCGGCGGACGGAAGCCTCCCAAATACCCTTCAAAAGATTCACTTTCACTGTAAATAATCCGCCTTTTGAAGCGGGCTGACGTAACGACCCGTCATGAGACCGATTTCGTTTTACAAACGTAATAATATTATCAACTGATCACTGACACAACTATATTAATCTGACGACAGGTAAAAGCAAATTCATACTGGACAATAAACTTGTAGCAGGAATATGTAACAAATGTTACGAAATATTTTCTTTTAACTCAACCAGTGCGTCTATTTTGTTCTTACTCAAAACATAACAGGAAAGAAATTTAATTTAGTCATGTCATAGTTTATTGAATATGACTTGCCTAGCTTAGTGCTCGATACAATCTAAGAACTATGTAAATCATCAATTCAGTATACAATTCACAATTATTTATTAGTCACTGGTAGCTAGGTTCTCCATTAGATTAGTATACCAAATCACCTTAGGTCCAACTATTGCATCAATTCGTGACTTGTTTTATTATGTAGGTATTACAATTGGAAAAATGCCCTTTCGTTTTTTTAAAAACTCGTCATAATGATTGTGTCTTTGAAAAAGCTTTTGTAAAATGCACATTGTAATGAGACTTTCCTGTCATCCTCTATTCAGCAGCTCTTACAAAAGTTACGTTAGAAGTCGTGCCGATGTCTATCACGGTTAGATCATCACGGTGATGGATTAATGTCTGTCAACAGACTGGTTCTTTCTTATTCATTACTGTTGAAATCAATACGTCGATTTCTTATTCAATGTAGGATACCATTTTAATGTTTTGTTTAATTATATTTTAAACGTAAGTGTATATAAAGAAACTTAAATGTGTAAATATAAACAATTCTCCTATTATAAGCTTATGATTACAATAGGTTCTTCTGAGTTTAATCGACATCTCTACATTTATAGCAATTTTTACTTGTTGAGTGACATTTTGTCCTGGACTAATCGGCCAAAATGCAATCTATCATGAAAATCAAAAAAACATAATTTTACTCACTTTTTAAAAAGATTTTATCCGTGTTAACCGTGACAAAAGTGCAAGAAAATATAAATGATTGAAATTTAAAATATACGTGGCAGAATCGTAAACACCTCGCATTGAAAATAAATTAAGTACTATTATAGAAACGAATCGATTAATGTGAAACTATTAAAATGAAAAATAGAAAAAGGTTTTCCTGTAAACGGAAACATATAATAAGATGTTGAGATGGCAGATGGAATTTTGATAGGCAAAGATAGAGACAATAGTATCACTAATTCGTGTTAGAAAGTAATTTATCAAAGAAAGTGTAAAGTGTCGAGTTGCCGACACTTTCGTTTAGGTGTCGATAAACTCCGACAATTACTCATTGTTATTATCCAATTAATCGCAACGAATGATCTATGTTAAACCTACGAGGTGGTTTCTTTTCATCATCTAATGAAAAACCACAACAATTTAAAGGATACATTGCATAATAATTTTAAAAGAGTTGAGGTTTAGCGGATTTTCCGCTAGAATTGGAGGGCCTGTCTGGTGAAGTAACTTCCACCTTACAGTAGACCACAGTAAAGTTACACTACGTTTTGGTGGTGTTGTGTTTCTGTCGATGAGTAAGGTTGACGACCTCCGTGACCGAGTGGCTTGTACGCAGGGTTTCATGGTGTCGCCGACTCGAGAGGTCTCGGGTATGAATCCCAGTGGAGGCAGATGTTTGTGTGATAAAATACGAGCATTTGTACTCCAGTCATGGATGTTTAATATGTATTTCTTTATAAATATAAATACTCATATTTGTACAGTACTATTCGTTACCGTATCATCCCATAACACAAGCCTTACAGTGCTTACTTTGGGGCTAGGCTAATTGGTGTGTGTTGAAAATATTTATGAAAAAATATTTATTTATTTATATGGTTTTTAGGGTAGGCAGCTGCGCGAGGCACTAGCTTTGGTATCGCTAGTCTATAAGCTGCGGTGGCCGCTTTGTAACCCTTAGGCCCTACGCTTGTTGCATACCTTTTAACATTAAAAAAATCAAATCATAGAAATTATTAGTACTTTGGTGTTATTAAAAAAAGAACGAATGTCCTATTCATAACAAATATAAATAATAAAAATATTTTGAAATATCTTTTCGAAGAATCTTTTTTACCAAATAACATTTTTTTTTTACCCAACCAGGCTGGCATAGACAGATAGCACGCGGCAGAAACTTAAAGACGGCAGGCGCCTAATGTTTTTGCCATACAAACGTTCTCGCCTGATTCCTCCTTGATTTATATCACTAAAGGAATAATTTTCTTATATAAAGTATAATTTTACTCATTCTATGCTCCTATGTCTTCCTTTTTTCGATAAGTTGTGTTTCAAAGAAACTAGAAGCCGTCAGAAATGCCAAAAATAAACACATTTTTATCAGCACTACATCGTCGTCTAGTGTGGAGAGTTAATATGCATTTACAAAAAAGCAGAACATTGAGGCATAGTATAACTACTTATTATTATAGTGGTAAAAAATCCCGTAACAATAGATCCTTAGGTCTCATTTCGATCAAGATGGTATTCATTTGATTCGTCTAATAGTGTGATTTTCGCATACTATCGACAGTCAACAATGAGCTTATCGAATGGCAGTGATCTGTTGGTCGTTAGCTACCAACAGTATATAAATCAAACGGCAACTATCACTGATTGCTTTCTCGTGCATGGGGAAAGTGTTTTTGCGTCTGGCCCTTCACGTGTTGCGCTCAAGTTCACGAACATGACTTATGGCTTATGGCAGAGATTTCCGACAGATAAAGAAAAGCCACGACGTATAAATCACTAACCGATTAACACTCGATTTCATGCACGGATTGACGGAATGAGTAAAATATCATTTGAAAAAAATATTTAAAATTTATATGTAACTAGCGTCTTCCAGCGCTTCGTCCATGTTAACTTAAAATTTTGAGAATCGGGAACCTATAATTTTTTGGGATAAAAATGGTAGTTTGTCCCAATCCAGGTAATAAACTATATGTGTGCCAAATTTAATCCAAATTCATTCAGTCGTTTACTCTTTAAGTCAAACCCACAGAAATATACTACCCAGTAAAATTTACTACCCCTTTTAAAGAAGCCTGATACATGTTATTCTTTATTTCAGGTCCCAAGTATAAATATTGAGTTTAGAGTATTAACTCTAAATCTCTCGAAATGCGCGTTAAAATTCAGCCATATAAAAACTTGGGCTCCCTTTAATCCCCTTATAGGTGTAGTTTAGGCAAACAAAAAAAAACTAAGTATTCGTACCAAGTTTTAATTCTATGAACTCAAAGAATAAGATTTTTCATACAAGCTTTTATCCCCTATTTTAAACCCTTTGGGGGTGAATTTTGAAATATTATTTCTTATGCATCCCTAGACCTTATATGGAACCTACGTGCCAAAGGAATCTCTAGACTCAGCGGTTTGGGATGTGCATTGAGTCAGCATTTGCATCAGTCAGTCACTCCGTTTCTTCTTTTAGATATTTAGATTCGTGTTCTAGTTTTAAATTTTGACGACCTTCGTGGCCGAGTGGTTTATGCGCCGGGTTTCATGGTGTCG